AATGAAGGCATTTGAACAAGGTATGTCCACGAGATTTCAAAAGTTATCGTAATTTTCAATCGATAATTGATTGAGGTATTGATCAATTTCTCGTGTGTATTCCAGCTGACTACACTTGGTTATGGTGATATGGTTCCGTCGACGGTAATGGGTAAAATCGTTGGTGGAATCTGCTCATTGTCTGGTGTGTTGGTAATCGCGTTACCGGTTCCGGTGAGCTATCAATTATTGATTTTTTATGGCCTATTTGCTTGCAATCAGTTATGGCACTTTTTACTGGTATACCTCATTAATCAACAGTATCGTTGTTAAGGTTATCGTGAGCAATTTCTCGCGTATCTATCACCAGAATCAACGTGCTGACAAGCGCCGAGCACAAAAGGTCAGGCAGATCGATTTATTGATTTTATTGATTCTTACTGATCCACTGCTCCTCTGTTCTTTCAGAAAGCTCGCTTGGCTCGTATCCGAATAGTAAAGAATGCATCTGGTCAAGCGCTATTCAATAAGAAGAAAGCACATGAAGCTAGAATGAAGGCATTTGAACAAGGTATGTCCACGACATTTCAAAAGTTATCGTAATTTTCAATCGATAATTGATTGGTAGATGAATTTCCAATGAAGTAGTAGAAAAGTAACGTTATGAGAGGAACAGGAACTGGTGCTGAAAGAAGTCAGAGAGAGGGGAAATAAAATCAAAATGTCTAGCAAAAAGGGCTATTTTCGGTGAAGCTGGAAAGGTTTCTTCAGCGAATTTCTTGACGTCATCGCCTTCGCTAGAGTTCGGCATTTTTTTTCGAAATTTTACTATAAATTGATTATCTCTGCAGTAATTATTTATGGTAATGATTGCTATAATGTCTGGACATGACATATGCCACATAAAGTGACCAAAAGCCAACGTGACTCACGGCTGACTCACGCCGCCGTCATGTGTCATGTCATGCCTGGCGCACTCTATGTACCAGACTCATTGTTCCTTGAGCAATCAATAAATCGATTTTATAGGTCTGCTCTCATTTGATGCTCTACGAGATGAGGACATATTTGAGATCCAACATCACCACCTGTTGCAATGCCTGGAAAAGGCTACGGTAAGTGTGGTTCTATTAGCGTGAGTGTTGTCATCTCTATGAGCTGCTATTAGAAGCGCATAGAAACCACTTATGTCATTGATCGCTTCATGAGCTTAAAGCCTTAATAGCGCAATGGCTAAAAGCGCTATATCGCATTAAGCAGATGAAATAATTTTACCTCGTCTAGAACGCCCCCTGCTTCATGTTTGTGTTCATGATTATTGATACCAACTTCGGTCCAGAAATATAATAGAAACTTTTTCGGGTCTCAGTAATTAGGATTTCGTGAGAATGATGAGATACGCACTGCATCTTTCCATAACATTAAAGAGTGAGATTACCTGTAAAGAATCAGGGAATATCGCAACAGAAGTACAAAAGCTCTGATACTCAATCTTATGTCTGTAGACCTCTCAGAATTCTCTAGGTCTTGAAGGGCTCTATATAGTTGATTCACCGCTGATGGAGAAGTGATAGATAGTGACTGAGGTGTAGGAGCGGACGCACCAGCGTGGCGTGGGCTTAATCTGGCACCCGCTTCGATCAATTTAAGAATTGTTGAGGAGAGGGAGTGGAAGAGAGGGAGGGAAGCTGCATATTTTTTGGTCCCTCTACGCTAGCAGGTCGTTATGGATTCAGGTTAGCTCGGGAATTTGGTAGAAGATGTTTACCCCGGTCTTCAATATGAAGATTTAGTGATTGTAGATTGATGTTTCGGCGCTTTGGCGTAAAACTTGTTGGTGTAACGCTCCTTTACATTCAGATTCAGAGCATCGGGAAAAAGTTCTATGATTATGGCAGAAAAGTTGCGCGAGGGAAACTATAGTATATCGAAAAAGGCGAATGGGGTTGAGCTGGCGCGGACGTGGTTCCACAGACGCCGTTGAAGACCTGGCTGGATTTGCTTACTGCAGGACTGGTAGGGACTAGTACTGTTTCAGATAAGTCCTAGGCGTTTAGGATTTCAGCAGAGTCAGCTACGCCCTCGATCTTCATGGGCTTCGACATAGTGGTATCGACTCAGCAACAATTGAGTTTTTGTTAAAAAAAATAGATTTTGTTGTTATAGGCCGAGAATTCGTTCGAAAGTGATGTCTCGTTTGACGTTGTATAGCCATTCGACACCGTCTCATTCTCGGGAACATTCGTGCATTTGGAGTAGTGTAGACGATAGTCATAAACGCCGACAGAAAAGATGGGGTTGTTTTTGTTTGATGAAGCGATGCATTGCTGAAATAACCAAAAGGACAATTTAGTGTTGTTAGCAAGGGTGATACAGAGGAGGCAGGTGGGGAAGATTGATCGCGACCAACGGGAGTCAGCCTTTAAGCTCAGGGTATGAATCAGGTGAACTTTTATCGCTTCCTCAACTCTATTAGACAGCTCCTTTCTGTCAGTCACTGATTGGAGCTTGGAAGGTAAGGTTGTGGCGATTCAGGGGAGCTATGCATGTCTATTTTCGTACGTTCGAACGAAGTTAGTTCCTCAAAATCGTTGTGCACTGACAACAGGCTTGTAAACTCCTCCACGATTTTACGTGAAGGTCAAGGGCACGGCGCACTCTCATCTTGTCTACTTGTCATTTAATTTCGATGATGTTAAATTTTCAGGTACACGAGACAACTCCGGACGAGAAAGTGGAACTGCACAATATCTGTGTGTCTCAACTTTAAAAATCAACCAGGAGAAGTCATCTATTTCCATGGACATTTTGAAACTCAATCCTATTTTCTAATGCTCATTGAAGTCGGAATTTCATTTGTCAAGTCTACGTGGCTGTTACATGACCATCTCGGGAAAACATTTGTGGCTGTGTTTATACTTGGCGGAACTGCAGCAGACGCAAGCTACATCGCCGCCTAGCTCAAATCAGTTCCTAGGGATTTAGTGATGCACGCATGCCTACAACTTCGCGAAGTATAAACACAACCTAGCTGTAACAAAATGGATTACCAGTACACGGTAACAGCCACGATGACTCGATGTGTTCTGATTATTTCTAACTCTTGAACGGATCAGATCGAAGATATTTTGAATATTTATATGATTCCGGCATGGATTGACTCAACACTGATTGTTCTAGTCAATATTTGATCTTTCATTCAATCGTACATATTCATAATTTACATATGGAAAAATTTCTAATCAGATTAGCATTTACGGGTGAACTGATTTGTATTTTGTCATGATTTAATTATGTCACACAAATTCTACGTTTTGTTCTGAGAACTAATGAAAATGTGTTCCACTGTGTGCGTTTTTTCGGCAAGGATGGTGATTCTCGCTGAATTTTAATGCTTGAAAATAATCCCCAATATTATGCTGTCGACGATAGAGGTCAAAGGCACATTCTACGATTGTCTAGATGTCTTATTGGGCACAAAAATTCTCCCAGAGCTGAAACTTTTGGCTCCTTTCGGTGGCCGACTGTGTTATACCATCAGTCCAAGGTACGCTGGGAGCCGAGATAAGAAAGCAGAATGTAACGCGGCCCTTGGTTGTTTGAGCTTCTGCCAGGGTCAACCGTCACGTTGGACCGATTTCGAAAATTTTACGACCCCCTCCCCCTTCTAGAGGGCCTCGATACGACCCCCCCTCAGGGTCAACCCTTCACCACCCTCGCCTGCCATCGCCATCATGGGGCTCATTCTATAGTATTCGATTCTGAGACCAGTCGACACAGCCCAAACTCCGCCCACTTTTTTCCTCCAAAATTGCCGTCGAGCGGGGGGGAGGGGGGGGGGGGTATCTACCACGAAACCGTAAAATTTCCCAATTTCCCTATATTTCCCTTCATTTTCCCTCTTTTTCACCTATACTTCCACTACT